CTCAAGTAAAGCTATGGGGAAAATGTTACACTCTTGATGTCTGGACTTCGTTTGATCGAGAAGGTTGGAGCAAATGTCGAAGTGGTTATTACATGGCGGGACTTTACAGAAATAATTGCGAGAGACTTGGTTGTATCGAAAATTTTTTCTGCTGCGAGATGGGAGCGTACAACGGAGATTCATGGATTGAAAGGCCAGATCTATTTATAAAAGTGAAAGATGCAGCAGGACAATTGAAGCACTGCTCAATGAACGCGATGGATATGTCGCCATCCAGCGTAACGTACGAATGCAAGTCCGCATCTGATCTCACTAACATGTTGACACTAAATGCACTGAAGTTCATAATCGAAGACGAGACGCCACTTAACGTCGCCAAGCCTGAACCAGTTGCAGGTTTCCGTCCTGTCATTTGCTCATCGCACACAGATTCATACAAGTGCTCAAAAGTGCTAACCACGTCAATTTCCACTTCATCCAGCCTCAGTATTGGCACTGGATTCACTTTGGCGGTAACAGTTGGAGCATCTGTGGAACTTGAAGCCAAATTTTTTGGTTCCGGAACCAAAACAAAATTTTCAACCGAAATATCAGCTTCAACATCTTTCAACGTGGAATCTAGTAGATCAAATACACATACTACAATGGACAGGACGGACGTTTCAGTTCAAGTGCCAGCAAACACCGAAGTTACGATCAATCTTCTGCGAACTGTTCAGAACTTGGTATACAAATGGAAAGCGGATTTTCAGATGTTGGGAAAGTATTCTCTGAAATGGAAAAATGAGCAGGAATTCTTCCAAGATGTGACGACGGTGCTAACCGGACCAAAGAGGGAAATATATGCGTTTGGAAGTTGGAATTATCCGGACACCGACGTTCTCAGGGTGGTAATCACTGACAAGTATGGAAATGAGATGCGTTCGGGATGTGAGCATAACGTTGGTGATACAGTAACAGATTGTGAGCCATAAAGAATGAAAAAAAAACTTAATTGCAACATTTATTATTCAATTTATTCTCTGATATGGATTGTTTTTCAAGAACGTGTCATAAGTAACCAACTACATTACTTAGTTTGATTATTATGTTTTGATTGGCACTTATCTAGGTCTATATTTTTAATGTATCTATGTCTATCTAGGTCTATATTTTCACAAGGTCTATATTTTAAATACCGCCAGACATATAATCCATCGAAATTTAAGGCTACTCTTATTTGAAGTCTTGCATTCGATTGAAATATCTATATCGTGAGAATTTATGTTGTTTATATACCCATTACATTCATCCTTACTTTTCTCAAGGGTTTTGAAGTGTATGGCTTTGTTATTTAATACTAGCGTATCATTACATATAGCTATAGAGCTTAGCGTTTGAAAGTACTAGTTATACCTGAGTAGATGATAGCCTGTTTTGTTCTGCAGTCTTTTTGGCAAAACATTGAAGACCAATTGGTCATTATGCAATCAGAAATTTCTTACAGCTGTTAAGCTGAATTTCCAATTTAAAAATGAGTTAGTGTTGAAAAGAACAAGAACGACCTGTTTTTTACTAGCTAGTTATTGCAATAAGATTTGCATCTCGAGTCATGATTGAGCATGCAACAGAAAGTGCAAAACCACATGTACAGTACGGATATATGGATAGCCAGCGTGGCCGGCTCTTTTATAGGGCAGATAATTGAAGGAGAGCCTGCCCGGAAGCCCTAGTAAAATTGATGCTCTCGGCAGCCAGCTGCCGAGAATTGTGATTGGCTGAATTTACGTTGACCACAGGTTGATTGACATGTTACGCTAATTTATTCAACAATTTAAAAATAAATACAGTAAAAACAAACGGCATCGCTATATTAAAGTGTAAACCTGTCGGCTAAAATTCAAAAGACAAAGTGTAAAATGTATAACATATACCGGTATCTAAACAGAATAAGGCAAGCCATGGTGCTATTACTGCATATGTCGTAAGATTTTACCGTATGGTCACTATAGTATAGAGTATAAAACTTTGGCTGTCCTTGCCTTGTCTATATTTTGCTAGCTGGCAAATTACGATTGTATAAATAATAATTCCCCATTGTGTTTAATACAGCATAATAATCCGAAGCTTTGATTTGCCTGCCAACGTGTATAACACGAGAAAAGGGTTCTATTTACTTTTCCTAAGTCATTTATTATATTTAATACTGCAATATTTATAACTGTATTTACAGCCATACAGGTGGAAAGCATAATATAATTTTGAACGGTCTTCGTCTACTATTAATTTCCAGACAAAGTCGAAGGGCCTTCGCTCGAAATGCCGACGTTTTGCTTGTATTTCCAGGCAGTTGAATCGCTATCCATCTATTGTAAAAAGTTTATTGAAAGCATGTAGCGCAGGCTATAGTAAATATGCAACAATTCACATTTCAAGCCATCATTTATACAAAACTAGTTCGAGTGGGCGCTGTTAATATGGAATATTAACTAAGTAGGCGGTATCAATTTTACTAGGGCTTTCGGGCAGGCTCTACTTATAAAAGAGCCGGCCACGCTGGCTAGAGTTAAGATTGAAATTATCTGTATTTCTAGCCAGGATGGCTAAAATAAACTGGACGACCTCCTTACCTTGTGCTTTTCCGGTATTAGTTTATCCATTTAAAACTCCTCCTGTGAGAGTTTGATGATGATTTTATAAAGTCCAAACACTGATAGTTTGGCTACCTCTTTTGGAAATGAAATTCAATAGCCTATTCAACACACGCATGAGTGAATAACTTTTGATAATAATTTCCATAATTTTAGACAATACTGTTAAAGTCATTAAAATTCCTTCAAAACTGTTTTTATTTATTTTGATGCCCTTTAGAGTTTTGTGAAAAGTGCGAACATTTTCCACATGGTCATCAGAAACCTGATGGCGAATAGAGGAAATTAGCTAGATTGTGTTTTAGTTTGAGTATTGACCACGCACATACATGTATGTGATGTGTACATCATAGGTTATTTTGATTCGCGACTCGTTAGTGGAAAGCAAATATAAAAACGCGGTTTCATGCTTTATAGTGAGAACACAAAATGTGCAAGTAAGGCTGTCTAATAGTCGGGAAATCGCGATGATTTCCGACGATGTCCGGTTTCGATACGAGTGTAACCGGAACGCGTTCCGCAGATGCGTTCCGGTAAAAGTGGAACGCAATTGGAACGCGAATGGAACGCGAATGGAACGCAAATGGAACGCATTTAGGAACGCGTTCCGGACGCGTTCGGGACGCGTTCCGAACGCGTTTTCTGTTAGGTTATTTCTGAGCAGTACTGTACGTAGCGGAAGGTTGATTTGTTAATGACGAGTATGATTTTGGCGTTAATAGCTAGCACTACTTAATTCGTTCTATTACTTATCAATTAAATATTTTCTGTAATCAAACTGTTTTAAGAACCATTTTATTGAAATTCAATATATTAAATTTAGTGAAGATTCTTAGTAAATAGTACATTTTGAATTAAATTGTTTAAATAAGTTCCAAGGAATTATTTAGAGCTTCTTCCTTTTTGATATTAAGTAATTCTTGACTTTCTTGTGACCAAATGCGGCAAATTGCCTTGATATTTGTCCGTTTAAACGTAAAAATATTATCCGCCATCTTGAATCATTGTTTTTTCGCTCCACGCTGCCATCACGCAAATAACACGCAAATTATTAATTGCACTCTTCTTGCGTGGAGAGTGCAATTAATGCTCTTATTATATACATGATAAAATTACTGCAATCTGATTGGTTAAGAGGAGTGCAATTATTTCATTAATTATTTATCTTCTGTAATCAGTGGCAAATACTGCAATTCCATTGGTTTACAGGAGTGCGATTTGAGCATTAATCGCACCTTTTCTGAGCTGTAATCGCACTCTTGTCTACAACCAATGAAAATCAGTCTAGTATTTACAACTAGCCAATCAGCATTCAGGATACAAACTTTGAATTTTATTTTCTTTGTTGCTGTAAAAAATTTCAAAATGGAGGAATTCACAAATTTTGAAAATTTTGACCTTTTAATTTTTAAATCAGCCCTCGAAAACCGGCAAAATTGAGGTCGTAAAAAATATGCCGACCTAAATCTGACCTAGCTTGGCACATCTCGGCATTTTTTAAAATCTGTTTCCATGTTTTGGAGCACTAGTAGCCTGCACTAGTAATCACGTATTTACGAATCATTGAAAAGTATAAATGTCACGAAGGCTTTTCTTTTAGAGTCTTACCTAAATTATATCATAATACCCGTTAAACCTTACACCAAAGTGTATCGAATTCTATAATCGCTGACTTTTTAACAGCTATCAGCACCAAAAAAGTTTCTTACTTTGGTTGAATTAAGGTCGGCAAAACATTGCCGACCTGGGAGGTTGATAGGTCGGCATGTAATAGGTCGGCATTGCCGAATAC